TATATATATATAATATATAACTATGTATGAATGTGCAGTGTCGTAAGAGGGTACCCAGGTACATGCGCTATATATGTTTGAGATTTCCTTTGAAAATACCTAAATCTTACGTTTAACATATGATCGTGAAATATATTCGCTTTGTACATTTCAACGCATTCGACGAAGGAGAGTTTCTCATTTTCTTTGGCGTTATGGTACGTTGCGTGTTACATTACGTCTCGACGTGATGTACTACGAAGGAAACAGGTAAATAAAGAGAGGCAGTTAATCGTTTGTAGCAGTAGCAGCAGCTTCAGCCAGTTTTCGTCCAGTCGTATTTTTTTAGCATTAATACTCCACGTTTTTATTGAGACCTCGATCGGAGGTCCCATCATGGCCGGGAGTCGACCGATGCGTAAGCCCACGTGCAATTTAATCGCGATTAACACGCTCTTTGTTATGTCTTACGTTTACAAATCTCTTTTGTAACAAATGTCGAAATAAATATCCCGCAGAGCGTATCTCTAGTGCGAAGTCGAACTTTGAAGATATGTTCCGGTGCTGGAATAAATAAATAAAATGTTTGCGTAAGAGCATAGATGGGAAAATGCTTTTTCATGGATTTCTGAGTTCAACGTCTCTTCCGAATTGAAGCTCTAACATGACGACAGATTCTAGAATATATCCCCAAAGTTACAAAATTTCCGACCTTTTCGGAAAAAAACGCAAGTTTTTATGCAGCACAGAACAACCATACACTCGCTTCTCTATTTAAAATTCCACAAGTATTCTTGTCATACTAATTGTCATATTAATTAATAATCTTACATTTTAAACATTTACTTTCCGAGAAATATAAATATAAATATATCATTTTTAAAAATTTCGTTTGGATCGAAAGCAAAACGAATCTTTCGATACGATTAATCCCTCAATGCGTCCATCTTTTGAATAAATTTCCACTATTCAACATGTGTTATTCTCCCTTTTCTAAAAAATTTACGCGCAGTCTCCCTGCTTTCAGATCTCTGACTTTATTCTATCTGCGCCAAAATATCAAAGTTTCGAAGTCTTTGAAACGTCATCGATTCTTTCGCAAATTACTACTAAATAATTTTCTTAGAAACACAGTTCTCTAGAATCTTGAACTTCTCCTTGAATTTCAGTGCTCGCAGGCTCGCGAAATCGCGAATTTGACAAAAAACGCTATAAGCCTAAAATTCTTGTTTCAAAATGAAACATTCCGCGATTCTCAAGCAGAACAAGTCACGATAATGTCAGAATGACGTTAAAATGAATCGTAAATGATTAAAAAAGGACTTTTAATAATCATTTTGGAATCATTTTGATATCATTTTGATGTTATGATGACTTGTTGCTTCTGCTTAGGTTCATCATCTCTTGACATCTCTTGCGTTACGAAAAAATGCAAGCGTAACGAAAATGTCGAACATCATTGTGTTCTATCACTCGCCTCGTCATTTTAATATCGACGCGATTCGTTCGCGATTAGGTTTGCGTCATGCAAAATCGAATCGCGCGAGATCGACTATAAAGGTAAAAAAATATCACCGAGTCTTACGCTATTTTCTTCCCCCGTATGTTCGGCGGCGCTCAAAAATGCCAGAAAATGCGAGAGATTATACGGATATACGTATACAGATATACGTCTTTTTCCTTTTTTTTTTTTAAATTAACTTTTAACCTGAATCTATAATTCTTAATGGCTATAATGATATTATAGTCGTTAAGAGTTACAGAATAGATTTTGTTTCCTTACATGCGCGACATTCCGCATTGACTCCTTTACTAAAGATTTATAGCTAACAAATGATCATTATATGCTTATAACATCTTAATTATTATTGGGAGATTCTTCTTGAAATTCTTTAACACATCTATAAGAGGAAGAATGCTTTTAAATTCGTTATATAAAACAACTCAACATTGTTTAGTCGCACTTTGGGAAACAGAAATCGTGTTTACAGTTTATCTGTGTAATCGCTCGCGTAATGGTCTCTAAATCGATCAGCGCGAATCCTCGTATCAAAAGTACCCGAATAATAGATCGAAATCATTGATTAATTGTACTCGTTAATTACACTGCCGATACGTAACTACCGTCATGTCCACCCGATGTACCTAGGTTCATTCGTGATCAATATTTCTGTCATCGAGTTCCTTCCTCGCCGATCTACACATACGAGATCCAGCCGAGAATCGCGCGATCCCTTCACGCTCAGATTATCGCGGTTTGTGTTCTTAAAAAATTCTTAATTTTCGGAAAAAATCTGACTTTTTTCCGTTTTTTTTTTTGGAAAAATTTAATAAAAAAGCTAGATAGTAGATGCACAATTTGTAACTGTACACATACTTTGAAAATGCACTTGAGCAAGCAAACATTCTCCATTCACAAAGTAAATGATGAGACACGATGAACAGAAAAATGGAATTAATAAGGAATTAAGAAAACGTCATAGTAGAACGAAAAATCGTATTGTCAGCCTCTAGCTTTATTACTAATTCTTTATGTTCAATTTTGTATTCTTTATCCTGTTCTTTATATCTGGATCTTAACATTACTCGTAATTGGCTTCTTCTTTATTACCATCCAACGTTTAACAAAAAGAAATCTTTAACAGAAATCTCATAAATGGTGACAACGGATTTTATTACTGAATTACTTATTTTAGTGGAATACTTAAGAGTAAAATGAATGTTAAAAGCTTTAAAATCATTGATCTAAAAGATAATAACGTTAAAAAAAATTCTAAAAAATATAGTATTAAAAATATAAAAAATACTATTTTTTCCAAGAATTTTTTAAAAGGCTAAGAACACTAGTCATGAATAAAAAGGGAGCGCGTGACTTTCGACGGACTTCTCACTCTCGTAGATGCATCTCCGCGAGTACGTACTATTCGCGACACTGCACCGTGTATATATGTGTATGCTGATCGCGCGAGAGTGCGTGTTTAGTGTGCGTGGGTATTTTGTACAAGGTACAAACGCACGCGTGCCGACGCGTACATAGGAACGTCGCTGTCGCAATTGTTCGAGCAGCGATTATGTTTCTTGCTTCTTCGAGTGGCGAGTGAACAATACATGAAAGACAAGAGTACATTCCTCTTGTTTCCGCAAGTGGAAATTAGCCAAGAATCAGTTTGGATCGACTTTAACATTCACACGAATACGTATGATTTATGGAAACGAAAAGAAGAAGCTATCCAACTCTCTAAATTCTTCGAAATGAACTCTTCATTCCAAAGGAGTGAAAATTCTACTATTCTTTTTTAAGAGTAGTAGAACTTTAAGAGTAAAATCTCTTCTTGTTAGAGAAAAGGAACACTTATGTAAAAGAATACATTTTCTTTCTACAAGTAAAATCGAGAGATGCACGAGATATTATATAATTAGATGATCGCAAGGATGGAAATGAAGAATCTCGCAGTCTTGAGGTTACTATAGGCATGTCGGCGCGCGTACGGTTGACTTTGATTACTTTACGAGCCTTCGATCGCTAAAGTGTATCGCTCGACACAGTGCTTTTATTTTATTTAGTTTATTTAATTTCTTTTTGCTTTATTAACTATATATTTTTTTGGTATCTCATTTCTTAATAGCATCGAGAGTGCGCTACGACATTCCTCCCTTTCGCTCCGTCTCTCTCTATCTCTCTTTCTCTCACGTCGTATAATCTTGGTATAATCTTTTAAAGCTTCTTTTGGCACGTATTATTAGAATGTATTATTTTAGTTTTACGGAAGAATTCGATTTAGCGTTAAATCTCCCGCTCTCCTCTCTCTCTCTCTCTCTCTCTCTCTCTCTCTCTCTCTCTCTCTTTCTTCCCCTGATCGCTAATTATCTTCCCTTACTCTGCTACTATTCCCCCATCAATCCCCATCGTCGAATTCTTTTCTCTCACCTCCTCTTCTATTTCCCTCCTCCTCCCCCCCTCCTCCAGCATTATTATATTTAAACACATTCATTTACAGTTTTACACTTCGCTACGTCGTAAAATTTACATCGAG